CGGTCAAGTCGACGCCTAGTTTCCCGCCAAGTGTGACGTCAGCACTTCGAACGGACCAATGGCGAGCACTTCCGGTTCCGCCCCTTCGAGCCCCGTATATAAGGGCCGGCTATTGTGAAGAAGAGTCAGTCTAACCCTAGTGTGAGCTAGAGAGTAGTGTCCTCGGACACTACGGTTCAAATAAACAGTTGCATCAAACGGTTGTCAGTTCGCCTTCAACCCACGGGGCCGAGGTGGCACCCGTGACTTGGGGGCCGAACCAAACCGAATCGATATCGATTCGGGTATCCGCCTGCTAGGCCGCTAAAACCGGCTAAGGCGCGAGTCCTGCCGCTGATAGGCAGTGTACCTCCTGACTGTAAACAGGGACCCGTCACGTGGTAATCCGTGTCGGGGCCTGTTATTGTTGGTCGGGGAGTGTACACTGACTGTAAGCGGAAGGATTCGCGGTTCTGTTCGAAGCGTCTCTATACGCATTCGAGTAGAGAAAGAACATCAACTATTGCAGATAGTATGATGGCAGAAGAAGCAGGACTAAGTCCAGCTGAACTGGAGCAGATGCTCCTGAGCGACGTGACCACAGCAGAGCAGCTGTCGGCAATGAGAAAGTCGCTGGATAGCCTGTTGAAAAGGTTGATGTCAACCCAAAGCCGTAGTGTCTGAAACGCTCTCGGTGGTTTTGAGCGCTAAGGCGTGGGAAACTCACGTAGCACTTACACCAAAGGAGCAGTACAGGCCTGATGAGAAAAAGGCTTGTTGTGCTGCTGAGCATTCTGATGCTGTTTTCCTGCAGGAACCTCGTCAGGCTGCAGGAGGAAACAGCTGTAATTATGCTCCGCCGATCGTATACGAACAACTGAACGCCGGTGACGTCGATAACGTCGAATGTTACCTGGATTTCTATCCAGTAGCGGCGGCGCAAAGTAAGACCCTTGCGGTTAGGCAGAAGGCCTGCAAGTCTCAGTGGAAAAACTGAGAGTTCCTACTTGCAGCGAAAGGACGACTGAGGCCGAGGACCAAGCGAGCCAATCGTCGTCGATTCCGTGCCGAAGCCGAGGTGAGTCTTTCCACTTCGATAATGCTATGGGGTCCATATTTGCGGCTATGGCCCTACCCGAAGTGGAGGTGTATAGTGACCCTCAAGGAAAGGGATTTGATGAGTTCATCATGAGGTTCACGATGAAATACCAGAGCCTTGGGTTACGGAATGACCTGCTCACCCAACTGTTGCTCTCTAAACTGCAAGGTTACCCAAAAGCGGTAGCGAAATCCCTACCGAAGCTCGTAAGAGAGGGGAACTTTGAAAGCCTTGTAGAAGCTCTGCGAGCAAAGCTTGCTGTGGACAATTCGGCGATGCAGATGAAGGCGTATTTGGATCTGAAACACCTCAAGAAACGTGGAGGCGTAACAGAATTCAAAGGCTGTCAAGAGAGGCCTATCCAGATGCATCGGAAGAAGAACTGTCCCGCACAAGGGCAGGTGAACTGGTGAGCCAGCTAACCGACTGGCCAGAATACCTCCAACTTTTTACGACAATGGAGATAGCTCCGAAGGAGCAGGCGTATGACATGGTGAAAGCCATGGCACAAAGATGTGAAAGGAGTAAGCAAGTAGCGGCTGCAATGCGTAATGCCATGGAAGGTCATGCTCGAAAGAGCCAGAACGGCAGATTACGTAAAGTTGATCGCAGTCATGATGCTCGGCAAGTCCAAACCACTGTGAACACATTGGAGGTGGAAGCAGTAAGCTCGATGTCCGCGATGCGACGGCTCAGCGGAGACCCGTCGGAAAGTGTTTCAATTGTAACAAGGACATCTGAGAAAGGACTGCACGATGCCGAAGAAGAACGCTACTGTTACTGAAAAGTTACTAAATCGGCTCAGCAAGCAGAGCCGGCGAGAATTTTTACCGCGTCCTTGAGGAAATGGATATGTGGAGCAGTAGAGGTCGACAACAAGTGCGAATTGGTCGGTGAACAAACGACCACGGAAGTGCATCTTCTAGGCACTTCACGCAAAGCGTTGTTGGACACTGGCTCGCAAATCAGCATCATACCACTGCAAGTACTCCAGGCAGCATTGGAGTCCGGCTTTGACTTGGATGCCGACGTCGAAGAAATTCCGTTGGACCAGCAAAAGCAGGTATTCGATGCTTCGGGCAACAGAATGTCCTTCAAAGGAGCGATCAGACTGACGCTGCAGATGAGCGACGGTAAGAAGCAGCGGATCGCTGCCTTTGTCATGGCTGGAGGAGACGGCATGTTGGTGCTTGGGACCAATGCACTGCGGCCACTTGGATATGACCTCACTCAGCGAAACTGCTCAGAGTCTGTGGCGCTACCTCCGATCACGGTAGGCGAGCAGGTTCCGGTAAATGAACGCGGAAAGAAAGCAAGATGTCGGAGGAGTAAACCACCCTGTTCTCTTCTCAGTGACTGCTGCGAAAAGGGTGTACATACCTCCAGGACAGTCAAGATCGGTACCTATTCAATGCAAGGACCTCACCCAAGGAGGAATTTTCTGGTCTAAGGACCACTTACTTCCTGATGTCGTATGGGAAGGTGGAGAGAAGGCAGTTGAGGTGCCGGTAACAAACACCTTTGCAGGAGCAAAGATCTTCCGACTGGGGGAGGAGGTGGGAATCCTCGAACCCGCAAAAGTCGTTGAAGTCAAGCCTGTCACGTATTCGGGAGACATGTTGGGGCGCACAGTGGAAGCTCCTACAGACCGAGAAGACAGACTTTTTACGCTACTGGGGCCACCATTGCCCTCTCAGCTCAATGCTATTTGTGCCATTGCCTTTGAGAGGGCAATAGGGAACCCGGTAGCGTAATAAGGAACGCAGCCGCCCGGCAAGCAGAAGATGCGGGTTCGAATCCCGTCCGTGGTCCGACTTGCCCACAACTCAGCATTCTTGTGATAACTTTCGGATCGCGCACTGCGGCGTTAAACAGCAGTTACCAAACAATAACAGCCTAAAAATTATATAGAGAAATTTGTAACTTTCAGTTCAGCAAGTCTCAATAACTCTTGTCTCAATAACTACGGTAATATCCATTATCTCAATAGCTCCAATAGCTTTGCGTGGACCAGTTGTAGACTGAAATGCGAGCAGGGCAGTACTCCTACACATTGCCTCTCCACCCTCACGGTGAGGATATAAGCAAGTTGAACAGCGACGTGACGCCTCTCGAAGGTGAAAAGGATGTTCACCTTGTTCACCTCAGGTGGTGGTTGAACAGACTTAGCTTTGACCATTCTTTATGAGGAATGTGACGTGGCATTTTGGGTACTCTATGAACCTCCTGCGACGGCTTCGGGGGATGAGTTTGCTTTTCATTATACTTGTTATACATTATACTTGTTGTTTACTCGCTAACTCGCTCTCGAGGCCAATTTACCACCGTCCCAAAACTTCTTTTGACTTCATAGCAATCCTGCATAGTAGAATATTTTACCATTCAACGCATAGATAGTGAACAAAGGGAAGCCTTCGACACCAATAATTAGGTCTGATATGGCCAGTGAAGCAATGTAGCGGTTGCTTACCTGCAATGATGCATATGAATGAACTATCATATACTTTATGGAGTATCTTATTTTTGCAAGCACAAATATTAACCGAAAAAAACCGCTGTGCTCAACGTCGGTTAAAACGATTCGGCTCAAAACGAAGCAGTAGAAAAGAACCCATGTTCTCGTTGACTTCTATGTGCAGGAACCGGGGCATATCATCATTGAGATTCTTCACTCGGTGGGGGTCGTATTCGGATGTCGAGGTGGAGAGGGGTCGCAATGAGAGGGGCAGTCAACACCAAACAGTGCAAAGGTGTCAGTAGCACTACAACAAATAAAATGATTAATCAAAAGTATTAATCAGTTGACATAAGCTCGCAAGTACGTAAATGAGTGAGCGGTACAATCTCAATAATTCTGCGGACATTCCATAGAAGTTTCCGATCTATTTTATATGAACAAATCGTGCGTGGACAGTCATAACGTAGAAGCTGACAATCCCATTTCCAGATACATTCTTGCGTATTCAAACATGTCCACTTGAAATGGCACGTCGGAAACGGATTTTTCGCGCAGCTGAGAGTTTTCATCAACTAACCCCAACCCATTGACCTCATGAACTCGGAAACTTCGAGGACATGTAAAGCAGTCTTTGAGAAGAAGGTACCTTCTTCTTTCTTAAAAATATTCGTATGTTTGCAAAGTTGCATGGGAGAAATTCATCATCCTTTACAGAAAACTCGCATCTAATTTTAAAAACCCCTAACCAGTCCTCAAAGCTGAATATCTCCGTGGATTGGAGGGCCTTTATGAGCATTTTAGTGTTTTTCGAATAGCACAAATCTAACACTTTACAATCGCGTTTGTTCAGCGCGCAGCGCTGAACAAACGCGATTGTAAAGTGCCTCAGCGGTCTACCTTTAAGGAAGTTATAGTTCTATAAAGGCAAGTTGCTTTAGTTAAGGGATTCTTGGCAAAGGTGCTCCAATACAATCAATCGACGGAGGCGCACTCATTCAGTATTCGATTGGCACGGCTGCCACCAGAGCT